GCAGTAACATAGAATCGGTAATGGCACATCATATGAAGTGAACTAAGTAAGATGACCATTATTCTCACATATCAAAATGCAGCCCTTAAGCACACACAAATATGCCTGCATTTAGCGGTGCCAAGAAAAAGGATCGTCCTTAAGAGGTAAACATGCATAATCCCGGTAGGGCTGAGGCGTTCGTTGGAGATCCAATGGAGTCAGGATGCACCATTGCCCACTTTGTGAGTCGACAAAGATGATCGGCGTGAATATGGGAGCCTTTGTTTCTGTGCCACATCGAATGGAGATGTGTCCATGTGCCTCTCAACTCTATAGACTTGACACACCGGTTCACCTTGCCGAAGAAAGGCGTTGGATCCGCCTTTCCACTAAACGCTTGCCGAGATCAACCACACAACTAACATCTCCCACCCGCCAACGCCGTCGTTGAAAAGACAACAACCGCTGGCCATGCTTCTTCTGAAGCAATATTCACAAAAAATCCATCTCGACGTCGATAACCCTACATTTACTGTCCAAGGAGAGACTTGTTTCTTCATGGCGTCGTCGCTGCCACGTAAACACTACATAATGAAACGTTGCCTACAATGTCGAAGCAGAGTGCCAGTATCCTCTCGCCATCGCGAAGGAAGAGGCGACCAACGGCCTCGCCGGGAGGACCGCAGTTGCCGCCTGCCCATATGGCATTGCTCGCCGGAGGAGAGAGAGAAGGAAGAGCCAGTAAATCAAGGGCAAATCGGTCATTTTATGGTTGCCAGATGGAAAAGAAAGAAAACAACCGTTGACCGAGCAATCTTCACAAACTATGACGTCGATAACTCTACATTTACCGCCCAAAGGGAAGACCTATTTCTTCACGCCGTCGTCGCTGCCACGTAAAACACTGCTTAATAACACGTCGGCTCAAACCCTAACTAACTACAAGCCTACAATGCCAAAGCAGAGGGCGATCAAGTCTGCCCTCACCGCGGAAGTGCAAGCGAAGAGAGAGGGGACCAATGGCCTCGCCGGGAGGATTCGAGTCGCTGCCCATATGACATTGCTCGCACTCGCCCGGGGAGAGGGGGAGGCAACGTGTTACAGTAAATCAAGGGCAAATCGGTCATTTTAAGGTTGCAAGAGGTAAAAAAAAAAGAGGGGGAGAAAGGCAGAGAGACACGGTCAAGGAGTGAAAGAGGACTGAATGATCTCTGTCTTCTCCACCCTCCCCCTTCCCTTCCTCCTGCCGCCGCCATGGATGGATGAGGAGCTTCCTTGCAATTGCTTTCTTTCCGAGAAGCCCGAATCCGCTCCTCACCCGCGCCGCACCATCTGATTCCCCGTCCCGCGAGCTCTCCGTCGATCCCGGCCTCGCCCACCTGCATTGATCTGATCTGCTCTCCGCTCCGGGGCAACAGCTAGGTGCTAGCGCACGGAAGCGAGGGGGCCATGAACGACGGCGGTCCGGAGGCGGCGCCGCTGGAGTTCCCCTCGGCGGAGTGGCGGCGCGTCTACTACCGGCTCCAGGGGCTGCTGCCGCGGGTGGAGGCGCTCGCCGCCGACCGCGCGCGCCTGGAGGAGGCCGTCAAGCTGTCGGACGCCCGCGAGAAGAGCCTCCATGCCCGCCTCCTCCAGGTGGTTCGCGCGCTGCCTCTAGCTAGGGTTTCCATTTATCCATTTGGTGTTTTCATAAATCTAAATTAATCGCGCCTGATGCTGCTGGCTTAATTATGGTCTGCGGACTGCGGTTGAAGGCGGAGGCGAGCAGGGAGAGGTGGAAGGCGGCCTACTCCGAGCTTCCTCCCGGTGCCAATCCCAAGCTCGCCGGTAAGAATTGGATCCCCTCTTCATTCTTTTGGATGGATGATTTGGGTGAAGAAATAGGCATCATTTCCCCGTTTTGGCTCGATCCCTTTGGGTCAGGGACTTGTCTATGTAGGTTTATGACCTGCCTGCTCAATATCAATTTGGTCGTCATTTTAACTTCTACGACGAAGCTTCCAATTTCAGTGAAATCCTGCTGCTACTACTGACGACTTTGTGTTCATTGCAGAACTTCAAGAGCGTGACTTGGCGGATTCCGAAGCCCGTGAAGCTCTTCCTGATGCCGACAACTCTCAACTGGAGGTGTCCATGGTTGTTTTGTATCAATGCTTACTGGAAAGCTTCCCAATTAGGAATTCTCAAGTTTGATTTCCATGATATCTGATGTCCGTATAGGATAATCAGTTTCTGGGGGTGTGCTAACAGACTGGAGTCTGTTTTCTAACAGGAGACTAGTCAAAAGCGCAGGAAGCTTACCAATGGGGAGACTAGTCAAAAAAAGCGCACGAAGCTTACCAATGGGGAGACTAGTAAAGAAAAGCGCCTGAAGCTTACCAATGAGATGCATCTTCAACGGTGCACGGTGAGTCTCCCTTTCACTCGTCTTTTCTCACGCCCTTGCCCTGCTCCACCTTTGCCCGATGCATCCCAGATTTAGCATTTGTGTTGCTTATCTCCTCGAGATCTAGACGATTTTGTCGGTCCATTTGCTGTAAACAATTTTGCTGTGTTGTATTTTCTAGAAATTGAGTGGACTTAAGTGTTCATATTCCTTATAAGATACTGTAGCTGTTTCTTTCACCTTTAGTCATCTGAGTGGATCCAAAATTGCTGACAGACTCCCTAATGAATTAACCTTGCAAGTTGCACATGAGAACTGTTGTCGTGATCAGCCTTATACGACTATAGCAACTTGAAGGTCTTCCTGCTTCTGTTCAATTCATCAGTTAACATTGTCCCACACTTGTTTCTGGCCAGTGAATCATCTAATTTGCAAATTGTAGGATTCTTGAGTATTATGCATTTATATCACAATATCTGTCGACTTTGTGTAAGATACTTGATTTTCCTAGAACATGGTTGTACATGAAGGACTGACAACATAGCCCAAACAGTCCTGATGATTATATTTATCATTAAATTTGCAACATCGACAGTTATCACCATGGAACCTGATGGTTTGTTGTGGTTGATGTGCAGATTTCTGTTTTTAGTTCTATTATCTGTTAGAACTGCTACTGTTCTTTTCGTTTACCGTTTGGTGTCTTCAATGAAAGCCTTTGTCTAATAAGATGCTAATGTTTTGTGTGCTTGTTCAACAGATGCAGATCTTTGTCAAGATCAACTGTTCAATTTTTCGCAAAAATAGAAAGACCCACTGTTTAAAGACAATCACTCTTGAGGTCATGAGATCAAATATGATCTACGGTGTCAAGGAAAAGATACAAGACAAGGAGGGCATCCCTGCAGTCCAGCAGAGACTCATGTTTGGCAGTGAGCTGCTGGTGGACAGCTGCAGCCTGGAGGACTACAACATCGAGGAGGAGTCCACCCTCACCCTTGACCTTGTTCCCCAAGGGATGCATATCTTTATCAGGGCACGGAGTGGCAAGATCATGACTATTGGTGTTGACGGAGAAGATAGCCTGTACAGTGTCAAGGCAAAGTTTTTCGATGAAACCGGCATCCCCCCAGGCAGACAGCGTCTCTTCTTTGCCGGGAAGCAGCTGGAGGATGGCCGCACCTTGGCTGACTACGACGTGCAAAATGAATCTACCCTTCATGTTGCGTTTCGCGGCATCACGCGTCGGAGCGGTCAGATGCGCATCTCTGTCAGGACGGTGACCAGGAAGAAAGTCATTGAACGTGCGATGAAGCGCAGGCAGGCCGTTGACAACATCAAAGCGTGGATCTACTCTGAGTTGTGCATTCTCCCGGAGGAGCAGCAGCTCTCTGGCGAGGACGGCGCCCCCTTGGCGGAAGTGATCCGTCGTTCGTGCATCGTTGTTCTGCAGATCCGTCCTCCTGGTGGTTGGTGAGATAGATGTAAATTGGTCCTTTGCTTTTGGTGGTACCATTAGTGAGAGCTCAGTCAGACTCGATAGCGATTGCACCTGAAGGGGATATATTTTAGTACAACAGTATGCAGGGTGTAAAATGAGTGAAATGTTGTAGTTTCTGGGCTCGTAGTAACAGACCGGTGTACGTAGGTATGCACGTGGGGTTTCTCTGAAGGAAATAATATATGCTTGTGTAAGTACTTGATAATTTCAGTGTGGCGCTTATTGTGTCATTAGCCTAACAAGTATTGAGTTTGGTAGTAAGGAGAGAAGGATATATATGTATTCCCTTGATGTCCAGACATTAACTGTTGATGAGCATTGTGCTGCTCTGTTTTGCCTACATTTTGTTTCTGTTTTTTTTTCAGAATCCCTAAACAATATAGATGCAGAGGAAAATTGGATCACTACAACTTTTGCTTGTCTCATGCATCAAATTATTCAAGGAGAGCACGTCGTACAAGGATGTAAGTAAGGCATCTGTGCTTGCATCCATGCATAAATATTTTGGACTCGGTACATTCTGCCTTGAATGGATTTGGTAGGGATAAGAGATATTGACAAAAGTAATCAATTTGCTCTGAAAACTGGCTTCCTTTCTGTTCAATTTCAGTTCAGTAAATTGATACCCTAAAGCCTGTCGTGGTTACTTTCCTGGGACTCTGAAAATAATTGCCCTGAATTTGATCATTCAGTCATACCTTCGGTTCAGTGAATTACTCCCTCCGTCCCATAATATAAGAGCGTTTTTGAAGTGTCAAAACGCTCTTATATTATGGGACGGAGGTAGTAGCTCTGAAAACTGGGATGTCTCATCTTATTTACCTACTTAACTTACCTGGTGCCTTACAAATCAGAAGCTCAATGTAGGCTCACCGAATGATGATGATTAATTAGCTGAAATCAGGAGACACCAAAGTGCAACTCTGAAACTGAAACTCTACCCATTGCTGTAGCTGACAGCAAGAACACAATGTACGGAAGCACTATGTTTGATTTTGTTTCAAATGCTTCCATCTCAGTATGATTTATCTGTGTGTTCGCCTTGTGAGATGGAAGGCAGCCTACACGGAGATGCGTCCTGGTGCTAACCCAAGCTCGCTTTGATGCCTTCCTCTTGACTTAATTAGTTATTTTCAATGACGCGTGTTGCTTGTGGTGGAAAAACTGGTCACTATTTTTGCCTTGTTCTGGCTCGATCTCTGAGAGAGGAGTTTGTATAGGCTTATGCCCTGCTAATCGAGGATTTTATTGTGCATCTCTGTGAGATTTTAACTTGTAGAAGGAAACACTGAATTTCTATCAAGTTATGTTGCTGCAGATATCATTACCTTATGTGAGGTATTTACAGAAACATTAGTTCTGTAGATCAAAAGTATTCAATCTAGCTTGTGCATGTAATCATTGTTTTGCGTTCATGGCTGTTCTCAACACTGTAGATGCAACTGAAAGAAACTGTAAGTCATGTAGAGCTTACTCAAAACGATTCTGCTCACGAGGACATCGCAAGAGATTTTCGAGCAGAGATAAACAAGTTAAAAGAAGTGGAGGCAGCAAAAGCTACTGAAGCAGCACAAACCCTTCAGCAGAGCATAGATGAGCTGCAAGTGGTAGACAGAGAGAAGGATGACGAGATTGACAGATTGAGAGCAGAAGCAGTTGATGCAGAAAACAAGGTACAGATTCACTATTGAGGGTACATTGCTAGAAATGCACTCTTAACTAAGAGGAAAAATTATGGAATCCAGAAATACAAAAATGGGCAACCTGAGATTCTGAAATGACCTTGTTTTCCTTCCGTGTTATTTGTCCAGTGACGGAGTGACCTGCTTATGGCGCGGCATATCCACAGCAGACCCTCTCTTTCTACAGACACATATGTAGTCGATGGACGATGTCGTGTTTATAGGTGAACCTGATCGGTCGACGGTAACATTAATAAATTGTGATGTTTAACCAAATTCACTAATCACTGCTTGCAGTTTAGTTGATTGCCTCTTGACATGTGATCATTGGCTGTTTCACTGATATGCATACACAATAGTCTAGTCATGTTTCATTGTGTGCCGCTTTATTTTTACTTTTTGTTCCTAAAGGCATAAACTGAATTTGACATGGGAGGAGTCCGTTAAGAGAGACCTGAAGGATTGGAGTATCACCAAAGAGCTAGCTATGGACAGGGGTGCGTGGAAGCTTGCTATCCATGTGCCAGAGCCATGAGTTGGTTGCGAGATCTTATGGGTTTCACCTCTAGCCTACCCCAAGTTGTTTGGGACTAAAGGCTTTGTTGTTGTTGTTGTTGTTCCTAAAGGCATAAACATCTAGATTCTTGATAGGCTACCTGCATGAAACATGTGCCATTGGAGACACAAACTGATTGTGAAGTGAGGAATTATGTTTATCTATATAGGAACCTCTACTTCTGGGAGTGGTAATTGTGTAGAGTTTGTTTTGTAACAGGAGACTAGTCCAAAGAAGAGTCAAAAGCGCAGGAGGAATACCAGTGAGTTGCAGCTTGAACAGTGCACAGTGAGTCTCCCTTTTACTCCTTTTCTCACATACTACTACTTATTTGCTCGATGCATCACAGATCCAGCATTTGGTGGTACCGATCCTCTCAAGATCTAGTCAATTATCTTGGCTATTTTTCTTCTTACATTTTTTGTAGTGCCATCATTTTTGGAGAATGAGAAAAGTCCATATTTCAACCCTGAACTAACCAGTCGGTTTGATTTACAACCCTCATATTTGAAACCGGTCGAATTGCACCCTCAGCTTACCACATACTCTCTCCGTCCCATGATATAAGAGCGTTTTTGACACGTGTCAAAAACGCTCTTATATTATGGGACGGAGGGAGTAGTTCAAAAGACAACCCTGAACCTAGTTTTGGGCAGGTCAACCGGTTTTGACCTAGTCAAACCTGACTGGACAGCCAACTCAGCAGACCATGCAGGCACACATCCTAACCTATTCCTCTCTCTCTCTCTCTCTCTCTCTCTCTCCGTTCACCCTGAGCCCTGACCCAGTCCCCGCAGCCGCCGCCTAGATCGCCTGGAACTCCAAAACCCGCCGTTGCTGGCGATCGGAGACCGGCGGCGCCGCCACACCGCCGCTAGGTTCCCTTCTTCTCTTCCCTATCTTGTCTTACCCGCAGGCGCGGCAAGCTGCCGCCGCTGCTGCCGCTGGCGGCGGCGGCGACGAGCTGAGCTGCTGCTGCTTCTGCTGCAGCCGGCGACCTACTTCTGCTGCCACCCCTGCCGCCACTGGCGAGTAGAGCAGTAAAAGCGGGAGGCAAAACTAGGTTTCTGGAAGAAAAACCAGATGAGATTCAGCAGGAAGAACCAGCTGAAGGGTACTTAATTTCCACAATGTTTTGATGATCTCTTCGTCGCCAGACCTTGTCTGTGTACTGTAGCATGTTGATGTGAGCTAAGTTACTACCCAACACCAAGTTCAGTATCATTCTCCTTTCTGTTAGAGATTCTTCAGATTCTGAAGAACAAATTATTCGGAAACAAAACATTCAGTTTGGCTTATCATCATACCTTCTGCCCGGGCCTCTTAAAGTTTGAATATTCTGCAAAAAGTCTCCTTCTGACTGAACATTGTTCAGTTTTGGTTCAGGAATCAGAGCCTTTGTTCTGACTGAACATTATTCGGAAAGAAGCACATTCAGTTTGGCTCATCAGACATTCTGCCTGGGCCTTCTTGAAGTCTGAATTTTCTGCCTTCCTTCTGATTGGTGATTGTTCAGATTTGATTCATGCACCGAGCTTTTCTTTGGCACACCGTGCAGGTTCATGATCCATTGTCTGTCTCTTCACTAGCATTCTCCACGGTGTCTCTGAAGATCACACCTGCAACCATTGTTCACGTATGCAGTGGGTGCAGATACAGCAGCAGCAGGTCGCCGGCCACAGCAGAAGCAGCAGCAGCAGCAGCAGTAGCTTGTCGCGGCTGTGGGTAAGGAGAATAGAGGGAAGAAAAAAGGGAACCTGGCGACGGTGTGGCAACGCCGCCGGTCGCCAGCAGCAGCAGGCCTTGGTGTTACAGGTGACCCAGGCAGCGGCTGCGGGGACTGGGTCGCCGCTCGGGCTGAACGAACAGAGAGAGAGAGGGGAATATGTTAGGATGTGTGCCTGCGTGGCTTGCTGAGTTGGCTGCCCTGTCAGCTTTGACTCGTTCTAAACCGGTTGATCTTCCCAAAACCGAGTCAAGGGTTGTCTTTTGAACTATGTTGTAAGTTGAGGGTGCAATTCGACCGGTTTCAAAGATGAGGGTTGTAAATTGAACCGAGTGGTTATTTCGGGGTTGAAATGTGGACTTTTCTCTCTGGAAATCGAGGTGATCTAAGTGTCCATGTTACTTATAAGATATTATAGGGTTTCTTGCTCTGTTTTCGACAACCTTGTACATGGAAATTGTGGTCCCATTCTCTTGCATAGTCCACCAGTTGCATTGTGGGTGATCTTGATTGATTTGTTAGCCAGTATTTTTGTTTGTATATTTACCATCCATGGATTAATTTGGAGCGGTGATGCATCATATACAGGGCTGATCTCATAGGTTTTGCCAGATCTTAGGACCGGTTAGATGGGGAGTATCAATTTCAAACTTGTCCATGTTCAATTCGTATCTGAAAGAAGAAAAGGTACTAATTCTGTAGGATTCTCGAGTAATACTCCCACCATCCCCATTTACACGGCGTACTCACATTTCGTGATTTAACTGTGACCACTAATTTCATCAATAATATATGTGTCATCATAAGCATACCATTGAAAAACCTTTTTGGATACAAATTTGATGATTAACATTTTGTGTCTGATAAGTAATATCCAGTTGGTTAAATTGATGGTCAAACTTGGAATTTGAAATGCGTGCGCCACGTAAATTGGGACGAGGGAGTATGACTTTACCACGATACATTTAAACTTTGTGCTAGATGTTTTTCTCAAGTAATTGTTTTACATCTTTGGACTGACAACATGACTCAAAGATAAATCAGATGTTTATATTTGCCATTTGTTCTTATGTTATGAATAGTGTAAGCATTCCTAGTTCTGATCTGAACTAGATGCATTATACACTGCACAATACCAACTGTTATCACCATGGAGCCTTTTGATTTATTGCAGCTAACATGTAGGTTTTTGTATTTGGTTCTATCTGTTGGAACTGTTAATGTTCTTTTCATTTGATCGCAGCATTATTACACAGGTCTTCGGCTCATTTTCATAATCAATCGCAGATGTCGAAGAAGCTCGACGCCTTAATTAAGAGTGAACACCCTGCCATTATGTTCCTTACAGATGAGATGAGCCATTACAAGCAAAGCGACGAGAAAGCATAACTACGCTAGTTCTCCATCACACACAGTATGAAGTGATGCTCCACATTGAGGACTGTTTTATGCCCGCAGACGCAGCAAGAAATGTTGTGCATGGAATCGGCAGTTTCTGAGAAATTGCACATCCATGGTTTTGCGCATTCGTCAAAGTTGAATAAGCAAATTGCCCAAATGAGTGAGTAGTATATATGCTGACGCCCCCGCAAAAAAAAAGTATATATGCTGACGGTTCGGAACTCGCCATTGTCCTCTGGACCTGGAGTGTGTGCGTTGGCGGAAACATCTTACCCGATCTAGGGCGACGTGCTGCATGTTAAATAGGCAGGGTGCGAGCTTGAGATACGCGTAGAAGAGTTGGTTGAGATACAACTTGATGAAAAGAAAGATAAGAGAGATAAGAGGATAAGCTAGCTAGTAGTTACAACAGAATATCTCATGCGCCTAGCTATCCTTGAGAAGTACTCAACCTCCTGTACGTGACACATACGGGACACAATCATGTGTTTAACACCCTCCCTTAATCACAGCTTGGTCAAGTTGAGATTACGTTTGAATTCTTCAAAACTCCGTACAGGCAATGCCTTTGTGAATCCATCTGCAACTTGATCTCTGGAGTGCACACCATAGACATGGAGCTCGTGTGTTTATCACACCAACTTCTTTCAACATAGACTGAACCCATATAATCTCTGCTGTAGCATTTGCTAATGCTTTGTATTCTGCCTCTGTACTTGATCTGGAGACAGTAGCTTGTTTTCGTGCACACCATGGTATTAAGTTAGGTCCAAAGAATACAACAAACCCACCAGTTGACCTCCTGTCATCCAAGCATCTTGCCCAATCTGAATCAGAGAATGCACTGACAAGTGTTGAAGGTGACTTGCTGAAGTTTAGACCAATGCTCAAAGTATGTTTGACATATCTAACTATGCGTTTTGCAGCAGTTAGGTGAACAGTAGTGGGTGCATGAAGAAACTGACAAACTTTGTTAACTGCAAAGGAAATGTCAAGTCTAGTAAGAGTGAGATATTGTAATGCTCCCACCAAACTTCTGTATCTTGTGCTGTCCTCTTGATTCAAGAGTGTCCCTTCTGTGAGAGATAGTTTTTCTGAACTGGATAGTGGAGTAGGAGATGACTTACAGTCTTTCAAACCAGCCTTTTTTACCAGATCAGTTGCATACTTCTCTTGAGAAAGATGGAGTCCATCATTGTTTCTCTTTACCTCAATCCCAAGGAAGAAGTGCAAGTCTCCAAGATCCTTCAAGGCAAAATCTGCACTCAAGTCCTTCAAGAGCCCCGTGATTGCTTCATTAGATGAGCTTGTCACAATAATATCATCAACATAGATGAGGACAAATATGCATGTGTTGGACTTGTTGTAAATAAACAGTGAAGTGTCAGACTTGGAAGGAACAAAGCCAAGTGCCTGCATCTTGTGACAGAGACGTGAATACCATGCCCTTGGAGCTTGCTTTAACCCATATAGTGCTTTATCGCAAGTTTGCACACATAAGATGGAGCATTCTTACTTACAAACCCAGGAGGTTGCTTCATGTACACTTCCTCTTCCAGAACACCATGGAGGAACACGTTCTGTACATCTAGCTGTCTAAGACTCCAGCCCCTAGAAACAGCAATAGACAGGACAAGGCGAATGGTAGCAGCTTTTACAACTGGACTAAACGTGTCCTCATAGTCTATGCCGTATCTTTGTTTAAAGCCCTTTGCAACAAGTCTAGCTTTATAACGATCAATGGTTCCATCAAATTTTCTCTTAATCTTGAATACTCACTTGCAGTCAATCAAGTTTTTACCTTACCTTCTTCAATGCTATGTACTCTTCATTCATAGCTTTCTTCCATTTCTCATTACCAAGTGCTTCTTCAACCGTGTTTGGTTCACCTGGTTCTCCTGTAGAACAAATCATACCATATTTAACTACGTGTTTATAGTTCACAGGTTTCGTTACCCCTTTTTGTAGTCGTGTGCGTTGTGGTGATGTCGCAGCCTCATCCATAACCACAGAAGATCCTGTCTCCTGTACAGGAGTTCTAGCCGGAGCCGATCCCGAGGAGGATCCCCTGGGTGCAGCAGCGCGAGCTGTCCCAGCGGGATCTTCTGCGGTTTGTGGCTGAACTGCATCGCCTGGAGAGGCCACAGAGGATCCCAGCCTCTGGACCGGCCCATCATTGTGCAATGATGGCGAATCAACGCTGGGAGCCGCATCAGGGCCTGCACCAGGGTCCGCATCGATGGAGCGAACCGGAGCCCGCCGCTTGTAGCACACCGGCTGGCCGCGGTAGCGCGCGCCGTCCGGGCCATCCATGCATCGCCAGTTGGCAGCAGGAGATTGGCGCGTCACTGGGTCCGTGTCGCGACCAACGAGAGGCGACCGCGTGCCACCTGTGGAGCCGGGCGCTGTGGCGCGTGCGCCTGTAGCCGCAGCCGCGCTAGCTGCACTGGATCCCGAGGGAGATCCCGCGTCTGCTACAAGCGATCTCAAGGGGGATCGGATTTCCTGACGCTGCGCTGATCCCGAGGAGATCTTGTCTCCTGTTTATGAACACATGAAATAAGGGCCAAAACTTGCTCTTTCTTCTTCATTTTTTTCGCCATTTGTTCCTGATTCTGGTCCTGTTTCATCACCACACGACTCATGCAACATATCAGCAGGATTAGTCAACAAGCGATCATCAGTATCGTTCCCCCCTTGATCACAACCGGTGAGATGTGAGGGCAAAAGAAGGATTTCCTTACGAAGAAGCGCACCGGCGTTAGGATGAAGATCAGCAAAGGGAAACTGTGTTTCATTGAATACGACATCCCTAGAGATGTAGACTCGACCCGTGGAGACCTCGAGACACTTGACACCTTTGTGTTGAGAGCTATAGCCAAGGAACACACATTTGGTGGAACGAAACATGACTTTCCTTTGTTGTAGGGACGAAGATTGGGCCAGCATGCGCACCCAAAAACACGGAGAGATTGGTAGTTTGGTTTTTCATGGAGGAGTCTTTATAGGGGTGTTTCATTATTGATGACACGACTAGGAAGAATGTTTATGAGGTGTACGGCTGTGAGAAAGGCCTCATCCCAGAATTTGAGAGGCATGGATGCTCCTGCAAGAAGAGCAAGACCAACTTCAACTATGTGACGATGTTTTCGTTCGGCGGAGCCGTTCTGCTCGTGCGCATGAGGGTATGATACATGGTGTGATATGCCAAGAGTTTGGAAGGAGTTTAACTTCTTGTACTCCCCCCAGTCTGATTGGACAACAATTATTTTGATGTCGAACTTACGTTCAACAAGAGCTTTGAAGTTTTGAAAAACTTGAAACACTTCGGATCTATGCTTAAGGATATAAATCCACGAGAATTTACTATAGTCATCAATGAAACTGACGTAATACGAGTGTCTACCAACAGAGGTTGGGGCCGGACCCCATACATCAGTAAATATAAGTTGCAACGGTTTGGTAGAAACACTAGTAGATATGGGATATGGCAATTGATGACTTTTTGCTCTTTGACATGAATCACAAATAGTTTCATTATGTCACACAACCACAAACGGGAGCTTATTTTTCCTAAGCAATTTTTCAACTAGAGAGAAAGA